TAGTGGCCACTCCAGGTCTTTCCAGGTCTTCAGGAGCTGGCCCCAGGCCCCAGCGATTGTGCGGGCACCGGGGTGCACCGATCAACAGGACAGACACCACCCCCGAGCACCCAGGGGTGGTTAGTTACCGACGGAAACAGAGACAGGCAGGCACTAGAGGAGCAGGGACAGCCCGGCTTAAGAAATGCTGCGATGGGACAGGTCGATGGGACAGGTCATCCAGCTGCAGGAGCCCATGGGAGGGGCTCTCGGGGTTCAGATGGAGCTCCCAGAGATGCTGTGTAACTTGAGATTTGAGAAAGAGAAATAGGAGGGAACCAGGAGAAGCAGGCGCCTTGCTGGGCACTGGCCCCCCTTCTTTGAGAGCGCTGGGCCCTGGGCTGGTGGGACACCAAAGCTTCCTGAGACCCTCCCTCATGTCACTGGGTGTCAGGTGCTCCGACCTGAGCCTAGATAATTTCATATGGTTTACACAGCAATAGCCGTCATTCTACGTTTAGAACAGACTTGAAATTCCATATGTACCTATAGAGGTAAGCCGTTCAGATCCTGTATACAAGCGTTTACACTTGGGTGTTGTCGCCTCTAGGTTTGCGTTCGCTACTTCCAAACGTGCGGTAACGTTCATGCTTTGAAGCCAAAATATGTGCGTGTCTTCAGTCGTCCTTCCTTCAGGTATAGTCACCCGCATCGGCTGCTGAAAACAACCGCGGGTGAGTATGATCTAAAGAGCCAACATAAAGTAACGTCTTGTATCTTACTCAGAACTTTGTATTTTGATTGTAGACTTATCCAAGTTAAAAAAAATGGGGGGACCTTTGATTTCTAGCCTGACCCTCCTTGCTCTCCCCACATTTACTCATTTTTTATTTTCTTTGCACCCTGCCTCTACCCTACTTCCCTTTCACACACTTTCCTTGATATCTGAGTCTTCATAATGTTGGGCATGCACTGTCTTGGGCCATCTGTAGTTTACCTGACTCATCTGGATGCAACAGTCAACATGGACAGACACTCTCAGTCGAGATAAATTTAATCTCGATAGTGGTAGTTTGATACAATAGTGAGTGCCCTTGTCCTGCCTGTGTACACTTTCACTTCTGCTATATTCTATTGGTGAAAGCAAGTCACAGGCCAGCACAGATTTAAGGAGTGTGAAATTGACTCTACCTCACTGGCCCTTGATTACCTTTAGGATAAATTCCAAACAGCTCACTTCAGCGTGGCGACAAAGCCTTTTTATTTTTAAGTCTGGGCTGATTTCTCGCCACATATCCTGGCTTCAGCCACATAGAACTGTTGGGCCATTCCCTGACCATGCTGTACACTGTCTGTTCCACGATCTTGCACACACTGTTGGCCCATATGTCCCTTGCATAATCTTGCGTTGTATAGAGGTGTCATCGTGTCACTTTTTAGTTGCTTAGGTTGGTTCCAGTTCTTCATCATAACTCCACAGTGATTGTTCTTGAGCACTAACCTCAGCATGCCTCTCTATGTCCTCAGGCAAAAAAGACTTAAAACTAGAATTGCTGACTCCAACTTATGGGCTTTTTTTTTTTTTTTTATAGGCTTTTAATACTTAATACCAAACTATTTTTTTGGAAGGGTTCCAGTTTATACTATGAGCAGCAGGCCATGAGAGGGCCCAACTTACTAGAAAGGAAGCAAGAGATTTCTAGCACCTCCATATCAAAGATATAGTTTGTAATTCTTGACTACTAACTTATCTGCTCATATCTATTAAAGAAAAATGTACTGCCTTAATCAGCTTGTTTGTGTATTTCATGAGCAACTGTAATTATTAGCAGTCTAAAAATAGAGGCACACTTGAATCAGCTCAGAGCCATTTGTTAACCAAAAATGCTTACTTTCTTGGATAATGCCCATAAAGTATCATTGGCATCTGAGTGTTATAAAAAGTGGGTAGAAATTTTGAAAAGGGGTAAAAAGTGGAAAAAGTAAGGAAAACTCAGATTTAATAAGCTGGCAGAACATAGTTTGGGCAAGTAAGAATTTTCCATCGCATTTTCTACGTAGGGATCTGCCTGATCTTTAGCCACTAAGAATGAGAGTATGAAGTCAGAAAAGATCTGAAAGCAGGCTGCTGATGGTTATTACAGTTTCGTAAGACCGAGCAAGGGATTCACTGGAGTCTCCCTTAGTACAATACCACGTTTTATAGTTTGTTCATTATAATTGTTCCCAAATCTCATTTGTCAGAGGCCTTCTGTCTCCTTGTAAAAGGACCTTATTTTGGAAGTTGGAAGATGCCAGTTCTGTGGCAGTGACCATGGGTGTGTGTCATTGATGAACTTATTTAAATCTTTAACAGTTATGAATGATGATTATGCTGTTAAAAATTATTAAATGCTTTTTTATCTGTCAAATGAAATAATTTCTGCCCCTGCTTGAGAATATTTTCTAACTTTAGGTGTAAAAGCGTCTCAGCAACATGTGACATATTTAACAAGGTCACTTCTCACTTGTCTCTGAAGGTCAACAGGGACAGATTGTTCAGTTCAAACTCTCAGACATCGGAGAAGGCATCAGAGAAGTAACTGTTAAAGAATGGTAAGTTATTGTGAAAGAAGTTCAGGTCTACCTTAAAATAATGAGAGTAAAAATAGGTAGGACTCTACTTAAGTGGGGAAACTTCGTTCTATAACATACAGTGCTTTTTAAAAAAGTAGGTAAAACTAGTTTGTGTTGTCAGTATGCTGGTGACACAGTTCATAAATCATGGCGTTTTATCCCATGTGATTTATTAAGGATCATTTTTCCCTCTTTTTAAAAACTCGTTTCACTGCCCACCCCTCATTTCAGCTAAAAGAAGAGAAATTAACCTTTAAGAGATGACGTTGGTCAGTGTACTTGTTGCTTTTCCAGAGGAGCAGAATCCAGAGGTCTTATTCTATTCCAGAATAAGACACTATTCCCATAGTGTTGTGTTTTGTTTTGGTTAATCCTCACCTGAGGATATTTTTTCCATTTATTTTTTTTTTTTTTTTTTTTTTAGAGGGAGCAGAAGAGGAGGGGGTGGGGAGACAGTGAGAAACATCAATGTGAGAGAGACACGTCGATTGGTTTCCTCCCGCCCCAACCGGGGCCAGGGAATCGAACCTGCAACCCAGGTACGTGCCCTTGACCTAGAATCCAACCAGCGACCCTTTGGCGTGTGGGCCAACACTCTAACCATGGAGCCACACCGGCCAGGGCCCCATAAATTCTTTTAAACCTCAACTCCATGTCATGATGTATTATCATGGACTGAGAACTGGTTAAGACAGGAAGACAAGGGATAAGAGTGACTGAACTGCCGGCCAGCATAGCTCAGCAATTGAGCATCGACCTAGGATCCAGGAGCTCGCGGTTCAATTCCTGGTCAGGGCACACGCCCGGTTGCAGGTTCGATCCCCAGTGGGGGCGTGTAGGAAGCAGCCTGTCAGTGACTCTCTCATCATTGATATTTCTATCTCTCCCTCTCCCGTCCTCTCTCTGAAATCAATAAAGACATTTTTAAAAAATGACTGAACAATACATGAATGAAGAATTGATGATAAGTCAGAAATGTGCTGGATATGTCGAGAATGTATTAGACTCGAAATTACACATAGTAGATGAGGTTGGTTTTGTTCCTCCTGTTTGTCTGGTAAAGCATACCTAAAATGATTACAGGAGAAAGGGATTGATATACAAGAACATGCTAAAATGATTCTAGAAAGAAAGCCAGAGAACTCAAACCAAATTTCATGAAATTACAAAGGATGTGTATTGGGGATATCAGTTTTTCAGTCTAATTCTAGAAATAAAAAACATCCCTTAAAGTTTGATACAGGCTAATATAAGACAGTGAAAGGGAAAGAAGCACACTTAAAATACTTCCTTAGAACTTTTCCCAAGGACTGGGTGGAACAGAAAAACTGAAAGTTTCATTAAATTTTTAGGTTACAGATCTATGAATGGTTTTAAAAATGTGGGTATTGGAGATTCTGGGAGCCGTTATAGTCTTTCCTGGAACATTCTTTGGTGCACCATCTGGGACTAAATCCTGGACTGGATGGATGCTGACCTAATGTACTTATCATTGGTCACGTAGCGGGGTCTTACGTCTTTCTCTTATAGGTATGTGAAAGAAGGAGATACAGTGTCTCAGTTTGATAGCATCTGTGAAGTTCAAAGTGATAAAGCTTCTGTAACTATCACCAGTCGTTATGATGGAGTCATTAAAAAACTGTACTATAATATAGAGGATACTGCCTATGTGGGGAAGCCATTAGTAGACATAGAAACGGAAGCTTTGAAAGGTACTGTAAATGTGTTTCCCTATTTGCCAAGTTGATCGCTGCTTTCCTTTTGTCATTGGGTACCAGTCAAAGGTGATGTTTACTTTTAATAACGCACAGGAAATCAGGAAAATAAGAAAGGTCCTTTGTGGCGCATGATTATCTTTTGACCAGTTACCATGGTAACAATGATCTGGTGGCCAGGCTTCTGGAAACCACAGTGGCCACACAAAGATTCGGGCAGTGGTCACTAATAACAGAAGGTGTAGTGTGCATGATGGGATGGCTCTGTTTGCCACGGATACAGAACCAAGCAGCGCCTTCGTGGTGATGGCTCCGAAAGCCAGCCTTCCTGAAGAGACGCAGAAGAGAAAGGAAGGAAAACCAGCATGAAGAGTGAAGAGAACAGCTCTCCAAAGAAGCAGCCACCCTGGGTCTTACAGCCAGGGCACGTCCCAGCAAAGGAATTCGTGATGAGAAAGTTACAGGAAAACAGCCTGGGCTGCTCCAGCGGCCTAGACAGCTGGCTCTCTGCCCCGAAGGCACAGAGTTATGTCTTGTTGGAAACAGCTTTGTTATCGGAGGCTGGGGAAGGATCAGTCTGTAGGAAGTGCTGAGGTTCAGAGGTTTCTGTTCCGCAGTGAGATTCAGAAGTCTAGAAAGTCTGAGTCACGGAGACTCTGCAGTCTGTACAACAGTGTAACAACTAACATCATAATCACACTTTACAATCTACCAAATGTTTCAGATTTATTATTTTTTTATCCTTACATGTGAGTATTTCAGTTGAGCAGATGAAGAAACGAAACCTAACCTAAAAAGGCTGGGTGATTTGACCAGAAAGAAAATTGACTAGGACCATGAATCCTCTGAGTTCTTAACTGAGACCCCTGTAATAAAAGACAGATTAACAAGAGGAAAACAAGTTTATTAATATATATGTCTCGTGTACATGGGAGACAGGCAGGGAAAGTCCCTCCAAGAGGAGGCTTAGTACTCAGGCTTAGATACCGTCTTCATGGAGACCGGGAGGGGAAACGCAGGCCTCTTAGGGGACGGCAGACGACGTTTAGGAAAGATAATGGGCCTTTATTTGCTTAGGATCAAATGTTAATGCAAACCCAGTTGCCTGCTGGTTCTCTGAGGTTTGGTCTCCACTAATTCCCCAGAGAGTCTGCCACACAGCATCAGACTTTGACAGTTAAGTGCTTTCAGACCTTGTTTTCTGTCCTCTTGCGAAAGTCTGTGCTAAGAGCCCTAGGTGGGTTTCTTAGGTCAGTGCTCTAAAGTTAGAGAGCAGCCCAGGCAGCTTAGCCGGGAATGAAGGCTTCCCCAGCACTCCTTAGCCGCGTTCAAAGCAGAGCACAGTTTCAAAGGCTGTGCTACCTTAGGGAGGTCAGATGTGTCGGATTTTACATGACACCGCATGATTTACCGCACATTTGATCCTTCTGTCGTGCTACTTACGTGAGATTTATTAGGAAAGTTTAAAATGCTACATATTTCAAAATTTATGGAAGAAGCTCTCATTTTTAACTGGTAGCTTGCTCTGTGATTTTAACAGAAATGAAGGAAACACCAGGTAATAACAGTCATGAAACAATACCAGGTACCAGTACGCTGCATGCTCTACCGGTTTGTTTTTCCATTCTGAAGTAGCCCAACTGTTACGCCTTTTGACTATAAAGTTCAGTAACACTTACATATTATATACCACTAAGCTTTTTTTTTTTTTAATATTCTCAACTGAAGAGTAAACATTTACCTTGTCACCAGATTCAGAGGAAGACGTGGTTGAGACTCCCGCTGTGTCCCACGACGAACACACTCACCAAGAGATCAAAGGCCAGAAGACCCTGGCCACCCCCGCAGTGCGCCGCCTGGCCATGGAAAACAACGTACGTTGTTAAGCGTCCGATCACGTGGAAAGTGTATGTTTGCGTCTGGAAAGGGAGCCAACTGTCTGTCCCCTGATGAGGCGGCTCGAGTTGGGGTGAAAGAAACATGAAAATGTCTGTGACCGAAAAGTGATAGTTGCCTAAAGGTCCTCATGAGAAATGAGAAAAGCACTGTGAACTTATTACTTCTGCTGATGGAGGAGTGTGATTTTGGTGTTCTTTCATAGAGTCTGACAACTGCCACCGTTCACTTATAAATACTCATGTCTGATCAGGTACCCTAGGAGCACAGATTGAGAGGGTTGGGTACATGTGATTGACTGGTTGGCTGAGTGAGCACCTTTACTGGGAGTGACAGGAAATAGGCCAGGCAAGGCCGTGGTCTCTAGGATGTGACCTGCTCTGGGGGAGGTGGGGAGAAACCTAGAACCCTGCTGACTTGAGTCAAGGAGGTTGGCCTTTCCAGTTCCTCTTACCGCCAGTCCTTGGTGCTTAGCCTCGAGGGGAAGGGAAGGTGGCTCCCAGGCAGGGGACAAGTATTTACATGGTATTTCATTTAACCTTCACAACTCTGAGATAAGATGTGAAGAGGTCAAGGGACTGGCCCAAGGTCACACAGCTATGGTGGAGCCAGGATTCTGAAGTCAGTCTCCGGGACTCCAGTGACTGCTTTCGTGATTATAGACTTCTGTGCCAGACGTGGCGCATGCTCTCACTGACCCTCACAGCAGCCCCGAGAGGTGGTTTGGATTATCCCCATTTTGCAGATGTGGGAAGGCAGAGAAGGGGTTTAAGTTGCCTGAAATCAAGTAGGTAGCTGATCTGGGGATTTGAACACAAATCTGTCAGGTTCTGGAGCCTGGGTTCTTTCCAGTATGCCCACAGTGCAGGTTTTTTGTTTGTCTGTTTTTGAGAGAAGTAATAAAGTTGCAGTGTGGGGAAAAACAGATGTTTACATTTTGGAAGTATGTTATGAGTCATTAAAATGTTCATATTCCTTCAGCCAGTCATCCGACCACTGTTCCAGAAACTATACCAAGGAAATAACCTAGGGTACATCCTTCCAAGTACTTTATAGCCAAAATTTAGAAAGCACACATGTTCAAAATCAGGGAAATGCTTACATAAATTATGGTACAAACCCTTAATGACAATTTTTTAGCTATTAAACGTGTTCAAATATGAAGACCATTTAGCATAACAAAGAATAGAATTAATAATATGGGACACTGGATTGTTAAGAGCATCAGAAGACCTTGTATATTGCTTTGAAAGCTATAGAGCATTTACCAATGTTTTTCATTATATAGAGAGACTACCTGTAACAGTACATGATTTGGCTTTCCTATACCACTTCCCAAAGATGTGTACAATAACTAGAGTATCTGTATAATTACTAGACATCAAGTAGTAGATTTATTATTATAAATCACCTTTTTTTCTTTATTTGTGATTTGCATATTAATTGAGTGATTAAAATGAAAAACCAATGGCATTTATAGTTGTTTGTAATTACATAAAAAGTATTTGTTTAAATTCTCAGAGTTCATTTGTTAACGATGGAATGTGTGACATAGAAAGTCCTGTATTAACTTGAAGTCATCCTTAGGGAAGCACTAATACGAAGAAGCAGGACTTACTCCTGAGAAATTAACTAATACGCACTAGGCATCAGGGTACTGTCCAAGCTTTAAGTAGAATTAAGTGTAGTGAGAATCCTTTATCTCCATAACCAAACATAGAAAGTGATTAAATAAAGCAACATCATATATGTTTCCGAAAAGTCCCGTGAGTGCCTAGTGGAAAATGGGATCTGTCATCTATTGTTTATTGTGTAGAAAACAATAATAAAGCTTATGTATTTGGCCATTAACTTGGACTGAAAACTCACAAATATGCTTCAAAAAAATTGCTTTCTTTGTTTTGTACTGATCTTTCTGAAAGAACTATCAGGAAAACACCAACTTGAGAGACTTTTGTATGATGATTATTTTAACTATGACGGTTTACTGGTGGCCAAGGTCAGAAACGTTGGTCTACTTTTGTTGTACTATTTCACTCTTCTTTAAACTCTCAGTTCTTCTTATGTGGTTTTCAAAAATAGAAAAAAAAAAAAAAGAAATAAGAATTATGCAAGAAATATAAATATAGTTGACTGTTTAAAACATGTGAGTTTTCATAAATAAGTATGGATTATCTGCAATGTAGATACCATGTTGTTACCACACAGGCAAATGAGCAGTATGTACACAAGTAGCATGATTGCTTGGGGAAGGAGCTGTGTTTACAGCGCTCTGTTAAGTTAATGAAAATGTTATTTCCTTGTACTAACTTACTGGGCAGAGGTATTTCTGCCATTCATTAAATTCCTTTTAGAGACCTTAACGATGGATTTCATTATTTTCAGGGAGGTTTTTTTTTTCACATTAAAACTTGTCATTTCTTTAGATTAAGCTGAGTGAAGTTGTTGGCTCGGGAAAAGATGGCAGAATACTTAAAGAAGATATTCTCAACTTTTTGGAAAAGCAGACAGGAGCTATATTACCTCCTTCACCAAAAGTCGAAATTATGCCACCTCCACCAAAACCAAAAGACAGAACTGTTCCTGCACCAGTAGGAAGGCCTGTGGTATTCACAGGCAAAGACAGGACAGAACCCTTAACAGGTAATGACAACAGTTCTGCAGGTAACAGTGTAATTTATTTGGGGGGAAGCTATCTCCATAGGTCCAGGCGCATAATATGGTGTGATTGATTGATTGATTGATTTTTATTGATCTCAGAGAGAGGAAGGGAGAGGGAGAGAGAGGGAGAAACATCCGTGATGAGAGTCATTGATCGGCTGCCTCCTGCACGCCCCCTACTGGGGGCCGAGCCTGCCACCCGGGCCTGTGCCCTGACCGGAACCGAGCTGCAATCTCCTGGATCACAGGTTGGTGTTCAACCGCTGAGCCACACCGGCCTGGCCTTTTATTTTTAATAATATGGTATTTTTAATTCTTACTGAAGAGCAAGTTCAAATTCAGCATATAATTTCTTTTTAATGATGAAATAACAGTTTTTCCAGGAAAACTTAATTTATACTGTTAATTTCTGAAGAGTATCATGTTAGCAGGTTTCTTGGAATACAAACATGCATATGAATAATTGAAGACTCAAAATATTTTAAATGTCCATTTTCCTTAGTTGGCTCTCAAAATCACTGCTCTGACTTAGTACTTATGAATGCGTAGGATGGTCACCTCCTGAGGAGCGATACTACTGCAGGAAGGCCAGCGGATGGATACTTGGCTTGCAGCCTGTAGAGTTTTTTGCACGCACAGCCTTGAAAACAGCCACCTGTTGTGTTGAACTTGGCACTGGGTTGTGCACCAGTCAGGGCCTCAGCTTTGAAATTCATGCTTTCAGGTTATGTAACGACGGGAGCTCCCAGAGGAAGAATTCAATTGAGAGTAAACAACATTACAGAACCTTCTATTTCAGGTTAAAAATAAAAAGGGTTTCAGATGTAAAATATAATGTGTTCCAGGCTTTCAGAAGGCAATGGTCAAGACCATGACTGCAGCCCTGAAGATCCCCCACTTTGGGTACTGTGATGAGATTGACCTCACCGAGCTGGTGAGGCTGCGGGAAGAGCTGAAGCCCATCGCTGCTGCCCGCGGAGTCAGACTCTCCTTCATGCCTTTCTTCATCAAGGTGAGGGCCCATCCGCTTCCAGCAAGGGTTGAGTGGGGCATTTAAATTGTGTTTTCCAAATAGTCAACGTGGTAACTATGGATTTGAATAAAAATACCACTTCTCACCATCTCACATAGAAGAATGCACAGGGACTTGCTTTCTTGGTTCCATATAAAATTGAAATGTTTGTATTGTATTTTTATGCACTTACCTCTTTGAGCCAGGTGAGAACTGAGCTGTCAGCTAGGTGAAGCCTTTAGTTCTGTAAGGATCACTCCAACAAAGAGCTGATTTAAACAAAAGTGAGACTTGGTATTAATCTGGTGTATTGCTGACATACATTTATTTCCATTTTTTTAAAAATGTGCTTTTATTGATTTTAGAGAGGAAGGGAGAGGGAGAGAAACACCTATGAGAGAGAACCAGCAATCAGCTGCCTCCTGCACACCTCTAACCAGGGACTGAACCCTCAACCCGGGCATGTGCCTCAACCAGGAATGGGACTGGCGACCTTTTGATGCACAGGACAACACTCAACCAGTTGAACCACACTGGCCAGGGCTTACTTCCATTCATTCAACAAACTTATTTTGAAACTTCTAGGAATTGTTTCTAGTCCTAGGCCTTAGGACAAGTACAAAATGGAATGAGTCCGTCCGCTGACCTTGAGCAGCTCACAGTCTCACATGAACCACCACTTACGAAGTTGTTACACGTGTTAGGCACCATACCAAGCATGCTACATACGGGAGCTCTTTTAATTCTCAGAATAACCCTGCCATCCCCCACTTTCCATTTAAGGAAATTGGGGCCCAGAGAAGGGGATCAGGGAGATCCTAAGTTGCCTGTTCCAGTCTGTTTTACTCAAAATGCATACATTGTCTCTAACTCCAGTGTGGCTTCCCACCAGCTCTTCCCCCATGCTGCACCAAGACTGATCTTCCATAGATCAAATTATTTTATTATTCCCTGATTCTTTTCAGTGGCTCCTCTTCATTGCCTTCAGGATGGTTTCTAAACAGTGTGGCATTTAAATATGACCATGAGACTCTGCTGCCACCTCTTCAGTCCTAGCTTTCAGTCACTCCCTCTGTTCTAGTCAGACAGAGCTACGCACAGTGGCAGGAATACACAGCTCCACCTGCCACGTGCCCTCCCACCTTGGCCAAATACTTGCGCATCCTTAGTATCCGATTTTGTTCAGGTATGTCCTCCGTCAGCCTTCTGTGGCTGTCACAATTTGAGTTCAATGACCTTCTGTTTCCCGTTGGACTGTATCTCCGAGTGTTGCAAGTGTTGACTCAGTTGTCTTTTCAATGGATGCTGACCTCATTCGGCAGACTGTTCCTCTTTATCTCCATCTTTTTAGCAACTGCCCTCACCAGCAAGTGAATCTGAATTATACTCAAAGTACTTTTTTTATGCATGACACTTTAACCCTTAGTTACAACTTTTATATAAAGATTAAAGTTACAGTTATCAAATGCTTGATAATACTTTGCTTTACTCACTAGTTCAGGATATGATTTTTTTTTTCGGTCAAGACCACTCACCCACAGACAGAAAAACACGTAACACAACATATAACAGCGTCTTAGTGGGACTAGAGGCAGGGGCAAGGCAATTCTTTTTAAGGACAATCCTAAGCATTTTTGTTTTCTAATCTTTAAATTTAATACAAGGCATGACAACCAAATGCATGAGCCTTGATTAGATCCTGATGGGCAGAAAGATAGCTATAGACATCATTTTGGGGACAGTTGGGGAAATCCGAAATTTGGCCATCCTGTATACAGGGTGGGGCAAAGTAGGTTAACAGTTGTGAGCATGCAAAACACAGTTTACTCTTGTATTATTTATTAATTATTGTAGTATTTTTTATACAAGCAACTGTAAACCTGTTGGCCCCACCCTGTATTTTGAAAAATCTTTTTAAAATAAAAATAAAATTTTTTCACTTATGAAAATTTTGAGTGACCTCCTTCCACACTGCAGGACAGTAACATGCCTGGGCACGTGCAGACCTGGAGTGAGTGTCCCCCCCTTCACACTTCCCCTTTCTGGGTTACAGTGCTAACATCGCTCTCTCTGTTGAGCAGGCCGCTTCCTTGGGATTGCTGCAGTTTCCCATCCTCAACGCCTCGGTGGATGAGAACTGCCAGAAGGTCACATACAAGGTTGGCTGTGTGTTACGAGAATGTTCTTGTTCTAAACAGAACTTGCAAATGTGCTTGTCAGAGAGGCGTCTGTCGCACCTCAAATCATGGTCCTTTTTAGACTAGAATCAAAGGTAGGGGAGAAAACATTAAACTGAAGTATAATTTGGTGTCATTACTGGTTCTACTGGTTAATAATGAAACTAACTGTTCAGTTATACAGATTTCCATTTTTAAAGTAATTTTTTTAAATATATTTTTTTTAATTGATTTTACGGAGGGAGGGAGGGAGATAGGAACATCCATCCCATATACCCTTCCCTCAAAAAGAACAGCCTCTCAAACAGAATTCCTGTGATTTTAAAACAAGAATAATTTAAATGAGAAAAGTAAGGAAAGTTTAAATTCCATTTGAGTGAACTCTTCTGTTTGGAGTGAAAGTTTATTGAGAGAACTCTTGGGGATGCCAGTTCTTACTTAGAGTTCTCACTAGAGCCCTCCAAGCAGGAAGTGAACTTAGATAGTCTCAGGGGTCGCATCTAAAACCTTCCCATACGACTGATAGTTTCCTGATGAAGGAGATGCTGGTTGCAGAAAATTCAGACACGAAAATAATGTTTATCTTCAGTTCATGATCCTGTTATTTATGTTGAGTTGTGCATCCTTCCAGGATTTTATTTTTACATACATCAAATACATATCTATGTGGAATTATCCATATTGCTTATTTAACTTTGAACTTCATAAAACTTTTCTTTTGACTTTCTTTTTCATTTAATGTTATGGACATCGTTCCAAGTCTGCAAATACTTGGTTATCATTTATTTAGCCAGTGACCTGTTGTAAACATGTTGTTGCAGTGTCTCAGACTTGCACAGTCTGAGCGCAGCAGCCCTGTGTGTCCCTACCTGTGTTTCTCTCCGTGGCACAGATGTTTATAACTGTTGGTACGAATTGTTAAATGCTCACCAGAAAGCCTGTGTTGGCGAACATTTCCACTAACGATGTGTGTCTTCCCTACAAAAAACTATCCTTTCAAAAAACCTTTTGAAATCCTTGGAGTCATTTCCTTTAAGTGGGGCCCCCCGGGGAAGCAGCTTTGGGGGGTCTTCCCGGCAGCGCAGGCAGACCCTTACCGTCCCTTACCGGGAGCTTACCAAGGGCCGACCGTGGGATTTCGTTCCCAGGCGTCGCACAACATCGGGGTCGCCATGGACACGGAGCAGGGGCTGATCGTGCCCAACGTGAAGGACGTGCAGGCGCGCTCGGTGCTGGAGGTGGCGGCGGAGCTGAACCGGCTGCAGCAGCTGGGCGCGGGGGGCCAGCTGGGCACGGCGGAGCTGGCGGGGGGCACCTTCACGCTCTCCAACATCGGCTCGGTGAGGCTGGGCGGGCCCGCGG